GAGATCTGTACCAAATTTAATGGTGATCATTTGGGTTTCTACACACATAAGTGTGGGAGGGTCTCATAGGACCATTACTCACACACACACACACATATATATATCTATACGATTTTGAACCCCGAAAATAGTACATCTTTCAATAAATTATCTGAACCGTCAATTTTCAAGATTTCCATATATTTACATATTTAATTGGTTTTAGCCAAATTTTGGAGTTTAAAATTTTATAATTAGTTATAAAAATGGATTCTTAGACCATCTTAATAATTTTTGACACCAAAATTACATCTTAGTTAAAATTTGAAGGTGCGCCTTAATTTGATTTCTTAAAGTCACAACCTTATGCAAACCACACCCAAAGTAAAAATTGTTTGACGAAATAGGTTCAATGTTATATGGAAAAAGTTTATATAAGGTTGCAACCTTAAAATGTAGAACTACGAATGCACTTCAAAAATTCATCAGAAAAGGTTGTTTTAATGTTGAAAAACCCTCTAATTGAGCATATTGACATCGAGATGTATGATTATGAAAGAAAAATAGATTTTGAGTCCCATAAGTAGTGCATCTTACATCACATTATTTAGACCGTCCTTTTCAAAATTGTCATATGTTTTTAGACCTACCTGATTTTAATTATTCTTTTGAGTTTAAAATTTTATAATTAGATATGAAAATAGATTTTAAGATAATCCTAATAATATTTTGCATCAAATTTATATGTTATGATCAAAGTTGAAGGCGCGCCTTAATTGGATCGTTTAAGATTACAACCTTATAAAAACCACACCCATGTTATATTATATAGACATATATACGTATATTAGGATTTAATACAAATACGAGTGTCAAACACATTGGCCTTTCAGACACATTCGTATACTAATTGAGGAAATGAGACTGGGATTTTGAGTAGCATTAAGTACTTTGTATTATGAGATGTCCTGTAAAGTTTCAAACACAAATGTTGTGTCCTTTTAAGTATCGGCAAGACGCAAAAGCCACATCCAAGTGTGTCCTTGATGCACAAATCCAATCAACTTTTGGGTTGTTAAAGCCACGAGCACTGCATTATTTTGGCCATAAATCCAAGGGTCTTCCTAGAGAAAACTGCTTGTGCCAACTTTAAATAATTAAAGGCATACATCTAAACTGTGTCGGTAGATGAAGTTTTGTGTCAAAGAGTCATGCTGTTTATTAAAAAATATATTTTTATCTTTAATTATAAAATTTAAAGCTCTAAATATGATGTAGATTGAGCGAATTTGTAAACCTTAAAAATATTTAAAATGAATGATCCAAATAACGTGTTACAAAATACATTATATTCATGACTTAATCTCTCTCTTTTTTTCTTTTTTTTTTAAGGTTTTAGGCCAGGATGATCAACTAGAGGGCCCTTTAGTATCATAACAACCCTTTTTGGAGGATTTTTGAGGTGTGTATTACTTTCATATTATAAGTTTGAGATTATAATAAATCACAGTGTTTGTGAAAATGCCCATTTGATACTTTACAAGTAAGGTACTTAAAATTTGTACCGAAAGAAGTAGTTTTGGTGTCGGAAACCTTATGATGCCTCGAAAATCTATGTTCAATCCAATTTATAAATTTTTAAATTTTAAAAATATTGTGGATCGAGCAGATGTATAAATATTTTAAAATCGTGAAAATAAACGATCTAGAGAACTTGTTACAAAATATAATGTTTTTGGAATTGAAGTTCTATTTTTTAATTTTTTATGTCCATATATCTAGAGGTTGAGATGATTAATTGGAAGGTTTTTTAATGTGTTATTACTCTTTTCTATTAGATTATTGATGTATATGGTAGAAGGTTGCAAGAGCCCAGGCTCTAAACAATCAAATTAGAGCTTACTTCAAAACATTCATTAGGAGAGGTTATTTTGATGCCGGAATATCATCAAATTGATAATCTCGACATCAAGATATATGAACATGATACAATAAATGATTTTTTATGTTTTGAAAATAGTGCATCTTGTAACACATTTTTTAACAGTCAATTTTTAAGATTTGCAAGTTTTCATAGATCCGATCGATGTACGCTATTGTTTAAGCTTTAAATTTTATAACTAAAGACTACAAAAAAACTTTTCAAACATCCAACTTTATTTCTGGATACTATTTGAAGGTGGGCTCAAATTTGATGGTTTAGAACCTGCGCTTCATACAAACCGTACCCTACACCCTAATAAATAAGGATGAGGTTGGAGCCCTATCAAACCATTTTCCAGTAAATAAATAGATCGGAAAATTTCCAAATATATTTTTGAGGGACGTTGTAGATATTTTAGGGTTTATCTTGCTCATTTATCTCACATAACCAAATATAATGAGCTCCTCCCTGTCTCTCTGATGGAGTTTCTCTCTCTAATTTTGAATCATTTTGTGGCAAAAGCCATGAGCTCTTGTATTTTGTGCACACTCCTTACTCCTCTATCTTCTTCTTTCCTGAGTAAAACCCTAATTCTACAATCACATAATAAGACAATTAATTATAAGCTTCATATAAAACTGGGGTTTTCTCATTATCCTGGCCCTAAAATCTCCATTTCTGCCCCAAAAGTTGCAGTTACAGAACCTGTAACAGAAGCTGTTTCTTCTTCTTCTTCGGTTGACGTCAAGTCAAAGGTGGATAAAAGTGGGCGATTTTGTAGCCCTCGTGCTGCTAGAGAGCTTTCTCTGTAAGTTAAAATTATAAAATCTATCTGTTTCCCTTGTGAAATTTTTCTCAGTTTAAATGAGTGAATTCTGCTAATTTCCATGAAATTACACCTACGTCTTTTAGTCGTGAACGTTTTCTTTTTATTTTTCTTTATTTCAAGAGAAAGTTCAGTTCTCACCTATTATGCAAATTGTGATGTAATTTCCATTTTTTTTTTCTTTTATGGAACTTCCATTACCTTGATTTTCGATTTGAGTGTAAATATTGCATAATTTTGTGGGGTGACTCTCATGTCTGATTGCGTAGATTCGTCCTTTTTGCTGTGTCCATTGTCTTGGATGCTCTTAAAAAGTGTTAATTACAGTATTTTAAATTACTGTCAATACTCTTTTTCTGATTTCATGATGTGGGTATTATCCCTCTACCTTTTTTTCTAGTGTGATTATGGCTGAGTATTCTTTTATAACTATTGCATGCTTCCCCTCCAATGATAATCTCTTTCATTAAGTATCATGGTATAACCTTGGTTTGGTGTTTTTTGGTGTAATGACTAAAAATTACAACCTTAAATTTATTTAGTTCGTGTTTGTTCTTGAAGAAAGGGGGTAATATAAACTCCTTTATTTTCATTTCTCTCAAATATAGGCCTTTATTTACGTTTTTTCTAATGAATAAAAAATGGAAGCACCATTATATCCGTTATGGATTCTATTATATCTGCTAATTTTCAATAATGCGAGTTAAACTGTTATATTCTAAAAACAAATATTATTTCTTAACTCCTTTTAAACCGCAATATATTAGCTGCTACTATATTGTAGTGGTTCAGGTCCTGGCCTCTACATCCTTTTTGTCGTCGTTATTCTGATGGCATGTGAAGAACAAACTGTTCTAAATATATCAAACAAAGATTGGTTGGAAAATATTTTAGGTGTGTTGACAATTGAGAACCAAATTTCTGATGCTTGAAATCGGGTGGCAGATTGATCTTGTATGCTGCTTGTTTGGAAGGTTCTGACCCAGTTCGGCTCTTTGAGAAGCGAGTTAATGCTAAGAGATGTAAGATTTCATTGAATTTAACTCACTGGTTTTTTATTCCTTTTCTGAAATTTGCTTTGTACATGGGTTGCTGATTTCCAATCTTCTGATATGCTTTACCATCATTGATTTACATTTCGTTAGCCATAAATTATTATGGACTGAAGAGTATTAAACTGAACTCGACATCTAAAAAAGCAAAAAGGTGGTTATGCTTGTTATTGCCCACCAGTGGTTTCTTGTTGCGCTTGGGCAGAACACCTCTAGATGTCTACTGCATAACTGATAATACCTTTCACGTGCTGGTAGAAAACATGGAGTTCACGAAATGCATGGGCTGCATTCTTGGCAGGCAGTCATGTGCCCAAATTTGAGATATGCGCGTTGATTTAGAAATTTGCAAGTAAGAAGGCTGATAGGTATTGGTCATGGTAAAAGATTGAGTTGAAGAATCCTCTAGTTTAGTTTGAGTAAAATGTAAAGCTATGATGTACCTATAAAAAAAACTTGCCTTATTGTGACGGTTTTAGAGTTTTATTAGCTAACTAGAAGCCATTGGAAATTCGTATTCCCTATGATGTGTTTTTGCATGCGCTCACGTGTGCTTGTGCATGCTTATGTACTTTTGTGCATTCACATGGGCATGCACACATATTCCTAAGTTAGGATTCAGATGCTTATTCTACAGAGATATGATGGATGTGGTACATTTGTTTGTTCAAGTGATATATTGTATTTCTGTAGTGTAACGAATTTTGTCAGATATTGATAAGTGTAATGTAGATAATATTTTAATATTCAAGATTTTCCTCTGCAGATCCTGGATTCAATTTCAATAAAGTATCCCTACTCGAGTATGATCATATTAGTTTTAGTGGACCTCCGGTTTCAACAGAAACAGAAGAAGAAGCGGAGATGCTGGAGCTCAAGTATGAAAAGGAGTCATCCATTGGTAGGTGCCTGGTTTGATAGAAATATGTATTTCTCTTGTTTGATTTCTTATGTTTCTTTTTGGTTGATTGAATATATCATATTATCTTATGATTCCATTTTTCTATCATGTAAAATAGTTCATACCCTTTCAATCACATTTGCATTTTGGAACCATTTCTTATTTAACCCAATGTGGACATGAGGAATGGATCCATTGATAACATATTAAAGCTTAAAAGCACTTACATGATTTCTCTTTGGGGTTTGAAAAGCTTTTCTCCTTCGTAATGACTTAGTTTTATACAGGAACTAATACAAGGTTGTTTCCCTAGTAAGCCTGAGTAAGGATTGGAATTTTCTGTTATCATTCATTTTTCTATGATTTGGATGGTTGAAATAAGCATGAAATAGACAATCTCTAGACTTTCTTCTAGGATTTTCTCGTCTCCAGGGAATAGGGTATTGCATTCCGGGATTATCATTCCTTGATAAAAAATCCAGAGAAATAGGTTGGAATATCTTAAGAGAGCTCTAGACTCATCCTTTGTGCAGTGTACTTCCTAAGTAAACCTCCGTATGTGTCGTGCACCACACCCACCCATGTCAACACAGATCAAAATTTTCCTCATCCCTAGATTAGTCCTAGTTTCCTTTAGGTCCTGGCGTGGGGTGTGTGTTCTAAGTTCAAGTATCGAGGCTGTGTAGATTAGTATTTCCAGATCATTTTTTGGCTTTTGAGGTTATCTAGAATTCTGGATTGATTTGCAGTTAAGTTTGAGTATCTGGTGGTTAGAGACAAGATACTTATGGTGCCGGGTACAAATCTAAAAAGCTCTCTAGTTTGGGAATCTCCTCCCCTGGATATTCCACCTAAAGGATGTTGCATCGTGCTCCACTTTATTTGTTGAATGAATTAAACTTGATATCACATATCACGATCAATTTTGTACCCTTTATTGATTTTCTTTGTGAGGATAAAATCATATCTTGTGTTGAATCGTCATAAAAGGTTTGAGTTCTTTACATATTTTTCCTATCATTTCATCACCATCATCATAATCAGAGCCTTTTCCCAACTATTTGGGGTCGTCTGTATGAATCATACTCTGCCAACTACTCTATCAAGGGTCATACCCTCAGTAAGGCCACAAGTCCCCATATCGTTTCTCATTACTTCCCACCATGTTCTTTTGGGTCTATCCCTTGCAGCGTTGCCCTTTTAAAGCCTTCTACTGGAACTAACTCGCACTTCTTAACATATGTTGTACTGTGTCTGCGATGCACATGGCCAAGCACCTATGCCTACTTTCTCTCATCTTATCGCATATTCGATTCACACCTATTTTCTCCTGAATGTATCAATTTTGAATCCCTTCTTGTCTTATGACTCATTTATATCAACATTTTCATCTCTGCTACACTCATCTTATGATTATGTTGTTTTTTAACTGCCTAACATTTCGCCCCATAAAGCAAAGCTGGTCTCGCAATTGTCCTATAGAACTTGCCCTTCAATTTTATTATTATATGGTGATCACATCAAACTCCGTTTGCACATTTCCACTTCGCCCACCCAGCTCTAATTCTATGTTCGAGATTTTCCTCAATCTCTCTATTTTCTTATAATATCAACCCAAGATATCGAAAGTGCGCTCTTTTTATTATTTCTTAGCCGTTTGTCTTAACTACTTCCTTGTCTCTACTCCTATTTTTACTAAACTTGCATTCCATATACTCTATCTTCGTCTGGCTAATTATAAAACCTTTAGTTTCTAAAGCATTCCTCCAAAGTTCTAACTTTGTGTTGACGCCGCTTCGGATCTTATCAATCAAAACTATGTCGCCTGCGAACAACATACACCACAACACCTCATCTTGTAACTGCCTAGTTAAGATTGTCACTAAAATCTCACTCGTCTCTCCACTAGTTGTTCACATACTAGTTAGCATTGTCTCGTACATATTGCTCACCAAGTCGATATATTGCTCACCAAGTCGATATAGTATCTAGAGACTCCTTTATTTTCCTATCATTTTTATTCTCTAATATTGAAACTCATTGATGTAAAGGACTAATATATGTGTTCTATCTGTTGATTATTTCAGAAGCTGAAGTTCTCTCTGCTCCATTAAAGTTGGTTTACAGCAAGTTTGTTTTACGGTATTTCCCTCTCTCATATTTCTTGCTGTTAAGAGGGATTTTATTCGAATGTATGTCATAGAAAAATGATGCATCTCTGTGGGAATTTAGTGCAACAATTTATGGCCTGTGCATGTAACTTCTCATGGATTTGAGAAGGATACCTAATTAATGGTGAAATGGGTCTGTTATTTTTTTCGGTTGCAGGTTGACCAAGAAAATTTTGGAAGCAGTTGTATCCCGATGGGACCATCATGTTATAGTTATGGATCAGATAACCCCTTCAAAATGGAAGGTGTGGTATATGATATCTTTTCTATGCTGCCTGCTTGAGTTTCAGTTTCCCATTCAATTTCTTTTTCAGTTGGCTACAAGGATTTATTGGGGTTTCTTGTGTTTAAATTATGTTTACGCTTGTTGTCTGAACTGACTTTGAAACAGATATATGAACCCAATAGTTCTTCCATGTCACCCATTACTGTTATTCAAAGTAGTTGCCAAGACACTCTTCACATAGGAAAATTAAGGAGGGCACAAAAGTACACAGAGAAATGGAAAAATTAGGGGATGACAAACGTGAACATCAGAACTCCACATGGAAAGATCACAATTTTGTTTGGTATGGAATGAACACTCACACACAAAAAATTTGAAAAGAAAAAGAAAAACAACTGAACCAAAAGAGAAATGAAACTTCAACCGAATTAGACAAATGTTTCTAGATTGGGAAAAAGGTTTTTGGTCAGCTATGGAAGTCTGGGCTGCCGAGCATATCTAGTAAAATATGTTCTTTATCTTTTTTTTGTGTGTGTTGTTGTTGTTGTGTGTGTGTGGTGGGGGGGCGGGGGGGAGGAGAGGGATAACATTGTTACCATTTCAAGATGATTGGGAACAATTGAGTGATTTACAAAAAAGAAACCCTTCACTCCTAGGATCATGGCTGCATTGTGAACTTCTAAGTTTAAAGGAAGTGTACAATCTGCTGATTTCTACTGGCCATGGTCTTATAAGATTGATTGAAGGATAATTAAGCAATGAACGATGAGGACAATTTACCTTGACGCTGACATATGGTGACATCAACTGTGGAATATGTGGAATATCAGTTTTCATATGTAACATTGAAATTATTGTTAATTGCAGAGTGAGCCTGCAGGGCGCATCTTGGAGCACTGCCTTCTGCACTTAGCAATGGCTGAAATTACAGTAATAGGCACACGGCATCAAATTGTCATAAACGAGGTTGGTTTTCTCAGACCTCTTTGTTTTTTGAATAATTTTTTTTCCTGGAGGTTTGAATAAAACGTATTTGACTTCTCGTAATTTTTCTACTTGATGGTTAAATTAAGGGAATTGCATCTTTTGCTTTCTAGAAACATTAGCCTTTTGTTATTCTCACCTGGTCGGACATGGATGCGATTGTTTATTCCATGATATCACTCGTCTTATTTTTTTGCTTGCATTTTTTGCCCTAGAGTCATCTCATGGAACTTTCTGTTTCTAAGAAAGCATAGCTTCATTATAAAACAGATTTTTAGATTCAAGCTCTTATCAATTATTATGAAACTCAAAACTTTTAAAGGAACACCCAACAGGTAAGGGACAGGAAAACCCTGATAGTCTCAGTCAAAAGAGTTTCTTTGGTAGCAGATTTGCATCATTCGTCCTCTTGAGCACAGGACTGCTTACTGCAGATGTGACATGTCGAGAGAGAGAGAGAGAGAGAGCTTTTTTCTTAAATGTTATATTGGCTTTTTTCTGAAGGCTGTAGATCTTGCAAAACGTTTCTGCGATGGCACTGCTCCACGCATTATTAATGGATGCCTCAGGAGTTTCATCGAGGACCATATGGTATCTGAGGGTGCTGCAGCTGTCGAGGCTTAAATTTTATAGTTGTACAAAAGGTCCCGAATATCATTAGTAAAGGGAAAGAAGGTTCACATCTCTCTCTGTAACAATGATGATGATGATAATAAAACCGGGTTTCCAGAAATGGGTCCAAGCAGGAGGATTACTGCATTCATGAATGCTTTCAAGGCAGTTTTCTAACTGAGCTCAGAAATGTGTTGAAGGTCGCTTTCTCACTCCTAAGGTGAGTTCAGTACAGAAATGCCATTTTTGCTGAAGCTTTCATAAGAACTTGAGTTTTTTTGCTTGAATTGTATCGGCTCTGAGAAAGTTGATTATTATATGAGCTTCCCTTCATTTGTCTAAATCTGTTATGGCACTATCTGTTAGGACAGGGTTTATCTGGGCTAACATGCCCATGTCTTTGTGCTGTGAATGTATTTATTACTATATACGCATGTAATGTTGGATTTGCTAACACTGAAACTTTTTTATTTGAGTAGTAAAATTTCTATGATTCTTCTTCTCGTGCTAGTCTCGTGCTAGTCTTTGGGTGGGTTAAGTCTTTTTCATTTGAGGCAATGGCCAATATAACGTATTGGGAGCTTTGGCTGGTGAGATTAGTATTGAGGTATGTTTGATATTCTTTTTGTTGCCCTGGACAGTGATTTTAAACAAATGAACATTATAGGGGATTTGTTGTGAGTTGTGATTATTGTGAAGTGGGGGGCATTATGTTTCTAGAAAGGATGTGGTTTTCGGAAGGCCACGGTTTTATATAGCTGTACTGTAAACCCGCTGGAAAATGCAGTTTCAGCATTAGAAAGCCTTGTGATCACTTGTGAATCTATTTTCACCCCTAATTGTGGAATTTAAGGCTTCAAAAAAATTGATGCAGATTTGGTGGATGTATAAACACTTGAAACTGATGATCTATATAAGTGTCCCTAATTGTGGAATTTAAAGCCCTAATTGTGGAATTTAAAGCTCCAAAAAAATTGGTGCAGATCCGATGGATATATAATCACTTGAAACTGATGACGTGATGTGATGAGATGGACCATTATTAGTGCTTAAAATCCGTTTTGTTTCATATGTATAGTTCTTGAGGTAGAGGATCGATTTGCAAGGTTTTTAAATTCAAATATACTTCATTTGGCACGATTTGAGCCATGAATATGTACATTCTTCTAGAAGTATTAGAGATTGAACAAATTACCAAATTCACACATTATTGCTAAACATTGTCTATACATCCATGCATTAGAAGTGGGGCCTAACATGCTTTGAATTTCTCAGGTTGCTAAAGCATATAGATAACATTCTTTGAATTTCTCATCCTGCCAAAGCATATAGCTGGAAATCAAGGTGCAACTCAAAAGGGTGGGTAAGGGTAGGGAGAGAGATTGATTTTAGCATTTGTCTATCTTCTCCCTTTTTTCTTGTTTTTTATTACTGAGAGATTGATCACTGTTTGAAAACCATGGCTCGGATTGAGTACTTGGCCTGCATATTGTAGCAGCAAAAAAATGTTAAAAAACTAAAAAACCGAAAAAAAGGAGAAATTTATTTAAAGTAAAATAAAATAAAACACATCTAAATGTGGTTAAAAAAGTAGAAAAAAATGGAGCTTAAAAAAAATACATTTGTAATTGGGGGTATTTTAAAAATAATCCAAAAAGAAAAAAAATGTAAAAATAAGTATTTATAGCCAAAAACACTTTTCAATCTTTGCCAAAATGATAGTAAACATAAAAATATATCACAAATAAATTCCTTATTTTTTTGAAACCCGAGCAGTCGGGCTGCTTGGGACTGAGTAGTTGTACACTAGTTCAAATATGTAATTCAAATTGTAGATTTTCTTTTGGTGTGTTTCATACAATCAAGGTAAGGTGTACTTGCAAACCTTGTTATAAGGTGCGGTTCTGGCATTGAGATAGCTTGAAAATCTATTTTCATATTTAATTATGAAATTTAATGAGGTGAAAATGATGCAAATTAGGAAGGCCTATAAGAAGCACTTAAGGTCTTGAAATGGTTATTTCTGATAATTTGTTACAATGTGCATTCTCAGGTTCAGGCCGGCTTTGTATGACCTGGCCCATATGTTGGGCCCAAGTTAGCCCTGCATGCTTAAAATATTTTTTGGCTGGGCTTGGCTAGTATTGGACCACTTGCACATTACAAGAAGGTCATAATTACTTGTAAAATTTGACTGCTTGAGTGTGTTATAGAGTTAAAAAATAAAAAATAAAAAATTCTAACTTTTTGCCCAATACATAGGATAAATGTAGTCCCCCAATTTTACATCTAATAGTCAAGATCAATTGTGATCTTCATATATCAAATATAAATGGTGTTATTGTATACTTTCCCTTAAAATAGATTAAGTATTCTTGTCAGATTTATACAGCCCCGATTTGGCCCAATCAATCTTTCCATCAAGGTTGGACTCGGGCCTCACTATAATGAATTTGGGTCAAGCCCTACATAGTGAACTTTTTTGGCTCGAACTGTTAACATCACTATACACATTCCCTACCTTTGGCCTAAATCAAATTTGTAGTAGAGTCTCTTTGGTAGATTTTAGGGGTGGCAACGAGTTGGATATGGGTTGGTTTCAGTTGGACCCGAATTTAAACCCGAATAGTATTTGGGTCTAAGTTTAAACCCAAATCCAACCTGTTGGGTCCAACAATTGGACCCATACCCATACCCATACCCGTTAAATCCGGGTCTATCCCATTGCCACCTTTATTATGAGTTTTTTTTTTGTTATTTTTTTACCATCATATACCCATATTATTGCCAACAAAACAAATAGGGTTTAAAGTATCTTACATCCATTTATGGTACGACCTACCAATTCTAAATGTTGGATCCATGCCCGAACCGTGTGTGGTATACCGGGTATAAGGGAACATTGCCACCCTAGGGTTTTCGTTTGCCGGGTCCATTGGAAATAATTGCGGAGGATAAAATCGTCTTTAACGGAAACCCATGTGCCTTCCCCGTCTGTTTTAAATTTTTAGTACAAGATCTACGGTTTTCGTTTGCCGTTTGCTTCGTCATCGTCTTAAAAATTAGGGTTTTGGTCTGCCATAGACCGGCTCTGCTATAAATATCATCTCCTCTCTGCCTTATTTCCATTGGCCTGTGTTCATTTTTTCCCAGGGGCGTTTAACCCCTCTTCAGATCCCATTCTTTTCTCTCCCAAACCCTAACCCTAACCCTAACCACTAAGTCTCTCTCTCTAAAAACCCAAAACCCAAAATATCAATCCTCATACCCGGTCCTCTCTCTCTTTTCCCCAAAACCCAAAGCCCTATATCGCAAACTCAGTCCTTTGCTTATATTGATTGCTATGAAGTGGCTTTCCCATCCATCCATCGTACCAACACCATGTTATCTTCCTTAGTGAAGCTGCCATGGGTTTTTAATTTGATCTTTTTGCTTTTCGATTGATCAAGTTTCTCTTTGTATTATCCTCTTTGCCATATTATTTTTTTGTATTATCCTATTTGCCTAATATTGCAATTCTTTGCTTCTGATAATTCAATGGGGCTGGGAATCTATCGTTAGGCTAAAATAGTCTACCTTTAGCTCTGATCTTCCTTTTAATAGCATAAGAAGTTTCGGTGACAAGGTAGGCATATTAAATTTATTTCTTTTTATTTTCTGTGTATTTTTTGAGGATACAATCGTCTTTACCCTTGGTGTAATTTGATAGTTTCAGTTTTGATGTAGCATTTGATCGGCTATTTGAATTTTGATAAAAAGAAATGTGTTAGTTGAACCTAGATCAATAATGTGGGTGAGATATGAATTAGTTTAAATGTTGAGTGTAGTTTGATTATTTTTCCCTTTTAATTATTGTTTGACTGGAGCTTAAAATTTTGGGCTTTTTGTTGTGAGTTTTGATTTATTTTTTAACAATGTGTTTTGGGCTAATGGAGCTTGAGCTGTGATATAGTGTGTTAATAATGGTGTGAGTGATGAAGAAAATCAGACGGATTCCCAATGATTTTTGCTCAAAAAATGATATTTACCAGCTACTTCTGACACACCATAAGACTCCTTCCATATTCACAGCTCCAAATTGTTTTCGGTTTATTTAACTATTAAAATGAGGGTTGGCTATAGTTTTAAAGGAGAGTTTTGGAAAGCTTAGGAGATCCAAAATAAATGGAATTCTTTATAGGAGAGTTTTGGTGAGCTTAGGAGATCCAAAATAAATGGAATTCAAACAAATTTTTAAAAAAACCTGGAGAAAGCTTCTTGTGTGTGCAAATGGAAATCAAACAAATTTATAAAAACCTGGAGAAAGCCTTTTCTGTGTAGCAAATAGCTTGTACTGCTGTCATCTCTTTCTCTTGGAATTTCTTCTCTTTGAGCTTAATAATAAATGGAATTCAAACCTTAGAAATGAAATATATTTTCCAAAGTATTTAAATGAATGATCCAAAACCAGTCCAAAACTGAAGTTTAAAGTATCTATTTTCAGATGTAAAATTTATTTATTTTAATATTGGTGATCACGGTGGTCGACTTTGAATCCATCCATAACTGAGAAGGATTTTGGAATGTGATCACACCTTAGTAACAGCAAAACCCCATTATCTTTACCACTGCTTTGTAGGTGAAACATCTTTACCACTGCTTTGTTGGTGAAACTTGGTTTGAAGACTCGAGCTCATAGCATGATTTTAGTGTGAGCTGATTTAATGATTTGTGAAACTTGGTTTGAAGACTCGAGCTCATAGCATGATTTTAGTGTGAGCTGATTTAATGATTTAATTTAGGGATAGATTTCTATACTTCCACTCCGAACTGATTTAATTTTAGGGAATGGTTTCTATACTCCCCCTATGGCATAGACGCCGTATAGACGATCTATGCGCCCTTTGCCATCCATCCGGCTGTCCAATTTTGATCAAGAGATCCATCCATCTTTCAATTTTGATTGAAGAGAGCCACTCACTGTTTGATCTTAGATTTGACTTGATCTTAGATCCGTTAAAGTATTTTATTTTTAGTTTTTTAATGCAAATTGTATTAATATGAAATTTGGTAAGTGCCATATCATTGGGGGTATACTTATAAAAATATTAAAAATATTTTTTTGATAAAATATAATGACCAAAATGCTTTTTTAAACTTTGAGAGAGTATTTTGGTTATTTTATTAAAAATATTTTTTTTTAATATTTTTGTTTTAATAAATTAGTAAAGAGAGTATTGGACGTGCTAAATTTGGCGTAGAAAAAAAAAAAAAAAACATTAGTAATGAGACGAGACATTGTGATTGGGGAATCTTAACCCACCCTCCATTCAGACGGTAGCATATAACAGAATGGTCAAGCAAGACTCGAGACGGTAGCATAGAACGCTTGTCCTTAATTTAAACTTAGCATGGTCAAGCAAGACTCGAAATCGTCGAATGATGAGAACTGATGTACTTCTGAACTTAGAATGGTCGAGACTTTTTCTAGTGTGAGCTTATTTTAAAGGAAAATTGCACCATG